TGTCGGTTTTCACTCTCCCGGTGTTTTTAGATCACCGACGTGTTTATACCCCGGCCCTTCCGCTCTTTCGCCTTCATCACATTCGACGATGCAGACGTAGCAGCCTCCCTGTTAGGACAGGATCAGGTGGTGAATGGTGTCACCCTTACTGTGGGCTCCGCGGTGCCTAAGATGCCCGCCTTTCCGCGACACTCCAACCAGAACATGATGCACAGCATGTACCAGGGCAACATGGCGCCACCACCACCACCACCACAACAACAACTCCCCTGGAACCGTACGTTGCTTAGCGTCGCCTGTTCACGTTTTTCAGCATCGACTTCTAATTTGCTCTGCCCTAACTAGCAGGCTGTCTTTCCCTGTCCTTTCAGCTTGGCAACCTCAGTTTGGTAGCTATGGCTACGCAGGAGACGGTGCTCCCGTGCGGACGCGTTACAATGCAATGGCGCCTGGCGTAAACCAGGCTGCAATGTCAACTGCGGCCGCCCTAGCTTCCCAGTACACACGAGCTCATCAGGTGGGCACCTTTTTTAAACGATTTGGGCTCCTTATTGATATTTCTTAGATAACAATCTATGATATGGATTACCAGGGAAGGCACAAACTCCAGAGTTCTGTAATACGGAACCGGAGGTGCTGGGAGTTATGCGGGTGGGGCACTACGGGAGGCATAGGGGAGAAATTGAAAGAAATATAGCAAATACAGAAAATAATAGATAACATTGTTATAATAAGTGAATATATACAACGAACAAGTGCACGATAATTGAAATATAAATAAAAAAGCACTTTGTGACAATTTGGACTTGTATTAAATCCGAGAGTTCGAAAATCGAACGCGGACTGAATCCGACGTCGGTCAACTTTGCCGAACGCTAATCGAATCTAAAATTTCGAATCTTATTTTTCAATCGAACAGTGGGTACCTTACTTCCTGACAAAATGCTTTAGAAACCATGGTAGTAAATTAACATTTGGAACCACCGTTGATATTATTTATGATGTATTATGAGTATAAAATTAGCTAAAAACCCCACTGCACAACGACAGAATAATATTCTTTTGGATATTTTTGCACATTTCTGTCACTAAGGCAATCGTGGGGATGTAACCTGATATGTGGATGCACTATGTCTTACTTTTCTGTTGAGTAACAAAAGCTAATCAATGAACAGTAGTATCGTGTTTATAAACATTTTCATGGGGTGTGCGATGTAGTATGTGGATGGACTGTGTCATACCTTTGGGGTGCGTAATACAGCCGATGCTAAAACAAAACATACGTACTTCTACTAAATAAGTAGGCAGTTTTGTCAAGTAAAAAAGGGCATAGTGATCGTATATTTGATTGTTACCAGTCTTTCCTATAAACCAGTACTAATTATTTCATCATTCTTCCACAGAACCAAATCACTAACTTTGCAAGGCAGCGGGCCAGTATGAGTCCTGTGCAAACATATCCCGGTGGCGGAGATAGTGCTGCCCTGGCCACCTTAAACATCCTCAGCAATCCCTCTGTCGTGGCGGCTATCGTTAATGCCGCGAAAGGTGACGGCCTCTCCAACGGTCAGGGCAACTCAATGGCCCCCACGATGGGAGAATAGAAGCCCTCCTCGACCTCTTCCTTCCTGCAGGTGTTGTACTTGTGCAAATTTTAACACCTTTCATCTGTACATTAGTAATATACCTTGGGTGTTAAAAATTCGCAATTGATCTTCTTTTTGTTAAAGGCAAATGTAGTCGCAACCCGCCTGTCGTTCCTGTGTAGTCTTCGATTATGTGTCTTGGGAGGCAATTTTGCTGTGGACCTCTCAATCGCCATTCCGCTTGCAGCTAGAGCCAGTCCTACATCTGTTTTACCGCCATCTTTTTCTTCCTGATATCTCATCCTTTCGCACTGTGACTGTGCGAATGTAATTAATTGCTGTATGTGTGTTGATATAAAATAACGCTTTACTTGCTTTCCGACTCCTTAACCCTCAATTACAATCGGCAAGCTCTGCGTGGAGTTATAGTCGCATTTCGTGCGCTTAGGTGAGCTCTGCCTTTCCCACCGACAGGTCTTGGTAGGGTCCATTGCCCTGCGGCTGCTCACTTGCCGTGATTTAAAGGGGTAGCAAGTACTTAGCATCCAGTTGCTGCATCTGACCCCGCTTTGTTTATTTGACTATGTAGAAGCCCAAGGATGAGCTCACCGCCAGAAAAGAGAACGCTAATTTCTTTGCTTTAAGACGTTTCTTTCGCTCACTGCCTCACCT